GTGTGATTTGAGAAACTGGTGAATATAATCTTGCAAATAATTTTAGGAGGACTTTAAAATTCAGATACATATTTTTCTTTTACCAGATAATAGTTTTGGAACAAAGCATATGTGCCAGTTTAGGTAACTGCATTAAGCATTCTGAAGGTTTGGTTTCTATATGTTAGAAAATACTTTTATCAATTGCTTCATGGAGTTCTGTGCTGTTTAGGCTAATGTGTATATAAAAGCAATGCAGAAGAAATGGAAAACTCAGGTAAGCAATTTTTTGCTCCGTGTAAACGGATGGGACGTGAAATTCTTCAACCCTAAAGGCTTGCTGGCTCTGAGCTCACGTATAGCCAAGCCCATGGACTGCCATCTGACTTCACCGAAAATGCATCTTGGAGCCCTTTAAAGACAGCAAGAAAATAGACTTCTCTGTTTGTGAAAAGGGGAGTTTAAGGAAAGGAAAAAGTTTGGTAAAATGTGGAGTATTCTCAAAAGCACTGAAATATGAACTAAGCAGAGAGAAATTAAATGCACTGAAAATATGTGACAGAACTGTTACTACTGTCTATTCTATTTTACTTTCTGTTTACAGCAACGTGCAGTAAATTAGGCTATTTGAAAAATTCAGACTTTTAAATCTGTGTTATACCCATTTATTGAAATTAGTGACCACATCTGTACTTGCTTTCTCCTTTCCTTCCAATGTGCCTTAGTGGGATATCTGATATTTCATTCCCTCTGGTGGTGCAGGGAGCAGAGGTACACTGGGATGGATGTCTGTATAGCCATTGCCTCTGCTGGGCCTACACTTTTCCTGAGTACTGCTGGGAAGTGTGCATTGCATCTGGTGTTTTCTGGCCTATACCTTTCATAAGTTCCTATTAAAAAGCAGAAGCAGGAACAGAAAATCTCAAAGCCACAGAAAATAGCATTGCAGTAATCTTATGTGAGTAATTATATAGTCTTGGGCTAAAAGAAGTTTCCTTTGTTACTCCCTGGCTTGAAATTGTAACGTAGTGTATCATACCAGTGATTTGTAAACTCTTATCCTGGTATATAAACCTATAATCATTTCACAGTTTGGTTTGTTTGCCTCACTCAGGCAGTGCTGCACTGTTTGTTTTACCAAAGTATTTGTGGCTGCGTTCCCACTCGGTTGCACATCATTCAGTCTTGGAGCTTGGCTTTCTGGGCAGGTGCTGGCTGGCTAAACTGCAGATCCTGCTGTTGTCTTGTTGAACCCAGGAGACTTTCTTTCCCTGGAGCATTTCTTATACAGAAAGCAGACGCTGCATGGCAGCTTTGGAAAATGATGGATAATGTAGCTTGCTTTGGCTTCCTAAAGGGAAGAAAGTCCAGTTGTTCTGATCTGGTAGGGTATAGTGGTGATGGTAGTGATATTTTTTTTTCTCTGCAGATGAACATATGGGTAATACATTTTTTATTGAATTAAACAGTTCAATTACAGAAGCATGTAGAAGAGGCAGAATAACAAAAGACTGTACTCATCATCCTGCTAGCACTTTGATTTTATCAAATAGTCCAGTCAGTGTGAGTTTAGGGGTCTCTTTAATGCCTGAGGAGTTCTAAAAGCTGGGTTCAAATGCAAGATTACCTTGAGCATCAGGGGACAGTTGGTGGGTTGCTCATAGTTTTTCTTCTTCTTCAGTTACTGGCCTGTTAAAGACTGTTCAGGTTTTCATTGAAACAGTGTCTGAAACAGTGTCTGAAAGGCTGCAGCTGAATTACAGTGTTCCCAGGACTCCTCCTCATGAGTCTTTTGAAGCACGGCATTTCTGAAAGGATTCATTGGTTAATTTACATTGAAACTCGATTCCAATGTCTGCAATTAAACAGAATTCACAGTTGTTTTATAGACCTAGTGATAGATTTTGTGGCATTTACACACATAATTTTGCAAGATTATTTGTGTCTTTTATATGGTGTTTGTTTTGGACTTCCCAGGCTAACACTCAGGTTAGTTCATGGTTGTGTTATGCAATGAAAATGGGAAGTAGTATCCATTCTTAGTAATAACTGTTATTTCTACCATCACTTTTAAGTTGTATTATTTTTTATTCTATGCCCTGTCATGAAAGTTTGATCTCCTTTATCACTATCTTCTTCCTGGTCCTTTCTTGTGTGTTAGAAGATACCAGTTTGTCTTTTTTTTATGAAAAAGCAGCATAATGATATCATCATCATCTAAATTTACCTGTCAGACTTCTCAACCAATACTTGAGTATGCTGGCTGTTAACTCAGAGAGGTTTTAGAAATGTATGTCTGTGGAGGGGATGCTTTCTGGCTTTCATCCTTTGCTCTCTGTCCCTAGTATGAGTGAAGGAAAGTCTGAACCCTATAACATTAATCATTTCTGGCATATATTTAGCAAATATCATTATTTCAGATCTCTTTCAAACTATTCTCATTTTTTACCTCATCCTCTCTGACAGCTCTGGAAAAAAATGCCTGCTTCCTAAATAAAATATTGCAAGAGGATGTTTTCCAGCAATGCTGTTTGAGTCAAAGATTTTTTCCTGATTGTGAGTAACCACCCTAACTTGTAAATGACTGGCAAGAACATTGTCAGTACTTGCTTAAGTGGTTGCTCACAAGTGAACTGTCTGTTTTGTTCATTCGCACATTGGAAGGGGAAAGCCAAACTTGAATACTGCTTCAGTATCTTCATCAAAGGAGAATGTTATTGTACATTGGGTTTCCAGAGGCCTTGGTCTCTAATTTTTGAGTATGTGGGATCTCCATTTGTATAGATGTGTAAATGGATGTCGTCTTCGGCCGATGCATAGAGTGAGCTTGAGGAGGTGTGAATGCAGATCTAGATCTCTCCTTGCCTTTTTGCAAATGACTTTCTGCAAACTTTCATTTCATTGTTGTGAGATGAGTCTCTCTCTCACACACAGTGCAGATTTTACTTCTTCAGATTCTTTGAAACAGAGTGATAGGGATCAATGAAGAAACTTTGCTCTATGATTGGTGGCCTATGCTACACCAGCTCCATAGTCAGAAGTGATACATCTTGAGGAAGGAAGAAAAGAAACATGGTCTGTCTCACAGATTCTCTAATAGATGGCAAGAACATGGTGTAATTGTCAGAAAGGTTTGTTGAGATTTTCTTGGAAAAGGAACAATTAAGATGGTATAAAATGTTTAACAATTTAGAGAAGCAGCTTGACAAATTTTCAGAATGTCTTTCTTTTTCCCTCTGAAATTTCATGCAAAACTGCACATTTCTTGCCTATGAACTTTTCAAATTAAAGAAAACTTGGAATGTCAAAGGTTTTTGATAAAAGATAGGTTTAATTTGAAACTACTTAGATTTCAAGAAAATCAAAGTTATCAATATTGATTTACAGTTTATAAAAATCTTACAATTTTTCTTTTTAGAAATCAAGTTGCTCCAAGTTTTCAATCCTGCTTTCAAGAAAAGACTTACATTTAACTACATGATTTACCACAGCAATATTTACTTATTATTATTATGTTCATATTCTGTGTAATACAATGATTAATGCATTAAAAGTGGATTTAGTTAGATTATAATAAGGTATGCATCATTGTAACCTTGTCTTCCTATTAAGAAAGAGAAACATTAATATCTCATTTGCTCTAGATATCAAAGTGGGGTGGGGTTTATGCTAGTTGTTGTGCATGTGTGAAGGGAAGGAACTGTTGGTCTATTTACTGCATATTATCACATAGTGTCTTATGGCTTGCTAACAAAACCAAGTACAGTTCAAGGGAAAACATAATTTACAAATTAATTTTTAAAAAATGAAACACAAAAAAAAACCCCAAAAACGCCCAAGGTGAACTCTTCTTTTAGGTAAAAATTTTTGCGTGACACCAGTGTATTGTGATACTCATTACTATCTCATGCCATAACATACTGACTCCGGAAGGAATTACATGTAGAAAAACAGCAAACATTGAGAGGATATTTTGTTCAACATTTACAGTCGGTGATGGTCTTTTTCATCAGAATTTATGCCCCTTGATGATATAATTGATTTATGAGTCTAGTCAGCTGACCACAGAAGCTAATGAAATAAGGGAAATATAAATTCCTATTCTGTGCATGTCTTCATTTTATGTTAGTAGTTGGGGAAAAGGATTAAGGTTTAATTATGAAGCCCTTTCATGCTTTTTTCCTTTTTTCCTAAAGTGTTTAATGATTGCTTTGACATACATCTGCCAAACATCTTTCCTGTCTCTGGAGGCTGTAGTTTCAAAGGAACTTTTACCTTGTGTTGCCCCAAGGACATTTTGAAGTCATTAGATGTAAAAAATCCTTAGTCCAAGAATGAAAATGTGCATGAAGAATGAATAGTGGCATGGTCAAAAAGTGCTAATAAGTTTTACTACCTTTATCATGTAGCTGAAATATAGATGAAAATGAAAAGTGCTTTGCAGACTCACATGTTAGAGTAGCTTGACATAGTGAAATGGTGCTGGCTTGTATCTCTATAGTTTAAAGAAAGGCAGAACAATTTTTTTTTCATCAGCTATAGCAGGAGGCAGCATAGGCTAGGGATCTGTTTTACTAGTATCAGGATAGCACTGGGGATCAGCATTGATTGGAATTTGAAGGACTTGTGGCTCTATGTGTTTGGAACTTGATTTTTGAAGGATTGTTGAGGTGTTGAGTCCAGGGCAGATCCACCAGGGAGTGTTTTAATCAAGAGTTAGAGTTAGGGGGCATTTTAATACTACTGTATGTTCAAATTGTCCTGGGATTTTGGTTCTTCTGTGACTGAATGTTTGTAAGGAAATACTGTGTGATTAATACAAAGAGCTCAGATTAATTAATTAATTAATCACCTTCTGGAAGCTGAGTGCTACCCACATATGCATTTGACTTGCAATATGTCACAGGCAGTTTGGCTTTAAAGACATCTTTCAGAGTGCTAAAGTGGTATTATGTACCAGTATGAGGACTATTATCTATTTACTATCTTCACCTGTTCACTTGATTTCTGTTCGGTTTTTTTCCCTGCTGCAGACTATGTCAGAGAGCCACAATGATCATGCAAAATAACAGCTCAGCCTCACCCCTGTTTTCAAATGTGAGCTCCTTCTGGAAGAGAGATTCACATGGACCAGGACTTCTTGATGAAGCAGCGTCACTCATTGGCAGCTATGAGTTCCCTCAGACCACAGAGAGTTTTCCCTTCTCCACTGTGGAGTCAACCAACATGTCCCTAAATGCCACAAGCAAAGACCCTCTGGGTGGACACACTGTCTGGCAAGTAGTTTTGATTGCTTTCCTCACTGGGATCCTTGCACTGGTGACCATCATAGGAAACATCTTAGTGATTGTTGCATTTAAGGTTAACAAGCAACTGAAAACAGTCAACAACTACTTCTTGCTGAGCCTTGCTTGTGCAGATTTGATCATCGGTGTTCTTTCCATGAATCTTTACACCACGTACATCATCATGGACCACTGGGCTTTGGGAAGCTTAGCCTGTGATCTTTGGCTCTCCATTGACTATGTTGCCAGTAATGCCTCTGTCATGAATCTCCTTGTCATAAGCTTTGACAGGTATTTTTCCGTCACTAGGCCACTAACATACAGAGCCAAACGAACAACCAAAAGGGCTGCAGTGATGATTGGTTTAGCATGGTTCATCTCTTTTATTCTTTGGGCCCCTGCCATTTTGTTTTGGCAGTATGTTGTGGGGGAGAGGACTGTGCCTCCTGATGAATGTTTCATCCAGTTTTTAAGTGTACCTACCATCACTTTTGGCACTGCCATAGCTGCCTTTTACTTACCAGTCACTATTATGAGTATTTTGTATTGGAGGATCTACAAGGAGACCGAGAAACGCACCAAAGAGTTAGCAGGGCTCCAGGCTTCGGGCAGCGAAGCAGAGGCAGCACGCTTCGTACACCAGACAGGCAGCTCCCGCAGCTGCAGCAGCTATGAGCTGCAACGGCAGAGTGCCAAACGCTCTGCCCGAAGGAAATGCAGACGCTGCCACTTCTGGCTCACAATGAAGAGCTGGGAACCCAACACAGACCAGGTGGATCCAGAACATAGCAGCAGTGACAGCTGGAACAACAACGATGCTGCTGCCTCCCTTGAAAATTCAGCCTCCTCTGACGAAGAAGACATTGCCGCAGAGACCAGAGCCATCTATTCAATTGTGCTGAAACTTCCTGGTCACAGCGCTATCCTGAATTCCACAAAACTACCCTCCTCAGAAGATTTGCATGAGTCAGGGGATGAACTGCAGAAATCTGACACAGAATTGAAGGAAAAGAAACCTAAAAAGTTGCATCCTGCCAAAAGTGTTCAGGATGGTGGAAATTTCCAGAAGAGCTTTTCTAAGCTTCCAATTGAGCCAGGGTCAGAAGAGACAACCACAGCTTCTGATGGCATCTCATCAGTGACCAAGACATCTGCAGCCCTGCCCTTGTCCTTCAAGGAAGCAACCCTGGCAAAAAAGTTTGCCTCGAAGACCAGAAGTCAGATCACAAAGCGGAAACGAATGTCACTTATCAAAGAAAAGAAAGCAGCACAGACACTCAGTGCCATTTTGCTTGCCTTCATCATTACCTGGACCCCATATAACATCATGGTTCTGGTGAACACCTTTTGCAACTGTATCCCCAAAACTTTCTGGCACCTGGGGTATTGGCTTTGCTACATCAATAGCACAGTGAACCCCGTGTGCTATGCACTGTGTAACAAAGGATTCAGAAACACTTTCAAGATGCTGCTGCTGTGCCAGTGTGACAATCGAAAACGACGCAAACAGCAGTATCAGCAAAGGCAGTCTGTCATTTTTCATAAGCGGATCCCTAGGGAGGCTTCATAGAATAGTATTTTTTAAACAATTCAAAAAAAAAATGAAGCAGGGATGAGATGGGACAGGATGGGGTGGGATAGGACAGAACAGGATGGGATGGGATGGGACAGGATGGTATGGGACAGGAGAGGATGGGACAGGATAGTAAGGGGTGGGATGGGATGGGTTGGGGTGGGAGGGTGGTTCCAATGTGCTGATTCTATGCTTTAAACATCAAGACATGAAAGCAGCTGCCAGGCTTATTTAGCCTTTCAATAAATCCAGTTTAATATAAAAATCAAGTCTGCATTCAGCAAAAACTAACAAACTTCGAAGTTTTTACTAAGGGATGAAAGATTTAATAAAGTTTTCCTACAAATTTGCAAGAAGCTGTATAGCAATTATAAACCCATTACTGATCTGCCCAGCTCTTCAATTATGATCATCTCTGGGATCTCAGGTAAGTACATCTATCTAGCCCAACTCTTCTGTTTCTAAGGAATCCAACAGCTTTAAATTCAAGCAAGCTATGAAAACAGGATTATGAAATTATTTGAGACACTTTATAGGTTGAAAAATTGCTTCTTGTTGTCCAGGTAGAACTTCCTGTCTAGTTCTCTTCTGGTATATTGTTTATTGTACCCCTGATTCCTGATTTCTGAGTATCAATGTGTGCAGCTCTTGTTACATATATATGAGAAAGTGTGTATGTATGCTTAACATACATTCACACCTCTAAAAATACACATATACCAGTAAAGAGGTGGCCTATTGTTGCAGGTTTTACAGGGCCCCTCATCATGATTACATGTGAGTGAAATTTAAAACAGAAATCATAAAATTGTGTTATAAGCGTGTAGCTCATTTTTTGCCACCTGAAACTCAAGTTTATCTTTGAAACCAAAACATGGTGTCTGAATTCCATATGGAGAGAAACAAATTGTAGCCTGTGAGCCTAACATTACAGAGTTTTATTATGGAGTACATTATAAAATACATTATAACGGGCCCAGTAAAACCTTGATCTTGAGCACAGTGTCTGTCCCCAAAGTGATCACACCTCTTTAAAAATATAAAGGTGAAAGGAATTGAAGGCTACATTCAGGGAAGAGTATGAAGATACCTTTGTAGGTCATAGGATGACGAGAGCCCACGTCTGGGCTGCACAGTGCTGAAGCTCAAAGGGAGCTGCTCAGGAGCCAGGCAGGTGCAACCACCAGCAGAAGCTCTATGTCATGCTGGAGAGGTTGCACTGCTCTCGAGGCACACACGGGCACCTTTTCCTCAGTTGCACCGTGCAGATGCACCACCCTTCTCAGAGCCAGCTCAGATCCAATGTGCAGTATCTGTACGGCTCCCTATGAAAGTTTAAGTTGTGATTTTCTGACTAAACTTGGTGGAGTCTCCCTGCTTGCTCTGTCTGCCCAGGTGATCTTGAGATGCAAAAGATTTGTTTAAAAGAAATGCTTTATTTTTGCACATGAAGGATGCTCACTAAAAAGTGTTTCTTTTCCAGAACCTGTTTTAAAAATCATCAGAAGTGCACCTAAATCTGTTTGATGCCAGGTTATTCTGTGTTGTGAAAAATGTGATATTGCCAACTTGCAACCTGGCAATTTTTGATAAAGACAATTTTAAAAGGGCTTTAATATTTATAGCTTAGACATGACCAGTATTTCCTGGTATTTGTGATGTGGTCTGCACCAAACATGATTTATAGAAGTCAGAGGTCCCCTGGGGAAAGGATTGTACTTTAAACTGTTGCTCTAAATCTGATTTAGTTATATGTTGAAGGATTATTTTGTATTCTCCTTTGAACTGACCAAAACTTTTTTTTTATTGCTTAGACTCTTATTTTGCTGAAAATAAAATAAAACAAGTTTCTTATTTTACAAAGGGGCATCAGTGTTGTGAACACAGAACTGATGTTAAAGCTGCTTTTGTATTCAGTGTGAGATGGTGTTTACAGATGATTTTGACAACAGTGGAAATATATTAAATGGTGTCTGTGTATCTGAACTATTTAATTTTGTGTTATGTTCATATGAAGAAATATTTATACATATTTCACCAAATGTTTTATTTAATGTTGATAAATATTGCTCTTCAGTCTTCAGCTGTAGTGTCCTTTTAAAGTGATTCATAAAGGTCTGCTTGAGAAATGAATAGACTATACCTAGCTTTCTTGTCACTAAAATAAATTCTCTTGACATGCAAATCTTTCTTTTGTATGAGTTGTTTAAATTGTCTACCCTAAGGTAATCTCATAAATTATAATACAACTCTACTGCAAGAGAAACTTTAGTATAAAAGACAGAAAAGAAGTTAAAACTTCATCTAAAAATACCAGAATTTTTTTACAGTTTGGAAGCCATATACATCCAAAATCTTATAGGGAACCCAAGTTGCAAAGAAAATTAATGATCTTTATTTCTAGAAAGAAACATATATATGAAATATATTCATTACTCAAGTTGACCTAACAAATGTTTTAACATTTAAATATATATCTATATCTATATATATTGCCATATTATTATATTCTGATATCTAGAGTAGTGCTGTGCCCCTAATAGACAAAATGTGAGAGCATGTAAGGAAGCCAGAGTTCATCAGGAGGATTTATGGTATATTAGTATTGATTTTACAATGGGAAACAATTATTTTTATTGAAGTTAAGCTTCCTTGAAAGCGTCTGTCACCACTGTTTACATAATAGGAAGAGTTAAATCCTTGGATTGTTTTAACAGCAAAATAAACAACGTGTCTTTTGATGTGTGAACAGGCTTTAAAATGTTATTTACAGGCATCATAAAATGTGTATGTATACACATATTGTAGCATAGATGAATTTAGTTATTATTTATTTAATGGAATATGCACTATAAAATATTAAGAATTTGGCTGTGTTACCGGTACAGTGGGGATCGAGTTAATTTGTAATTTATATGTCTCTGTGTTTGCTTTAAACCCATGCACACACAAAAATTTTAGCTGTATGCACAAGTGGATATATTATTTATGAACACAGACACACATGATAGGTTTCAGAAAAACAATCAGGCACCAAAAAGTAAAATCTGACACAACATTACGTTTAAGAAGTACAAATGGTGTAGTATTTCATCTGTTTTGAGGAAAAAAAAAGTCAGAAACACAATAGGAAGCATCATTCTGAGGGCAGACAAACAGCTCAGTCCCATTAACAGTCCTCACATGGAACGCTGGATTTTCAGAGACCAGTCCCCATTAATTGCAATAATACAAGACTAGAATCCATATGAAGAAGACCAGAAAACCAGAAGTGATGGGAGCCATTGGGGAGTCTGAAGAAAGCTTTGTAGAAAAGACCCCAGTCATTTTCAACCTCCAAACAGACAACAAAATACATTAGAATATATTCTTGTCTTTCTCGATGTAAAATATTTATAGAAGCTTATTACTTCTGTACCTGTGTAGGCAGTGAGAAATATCTGATCCAAAGATCTAGGGGCAGGGATCCTGGTGCATGAAGCACTTTTTCCTAACTAATCATTAACACACTTCCTACAAAGGTAAACTGCAAATCAGTGTGTCACTGTTCTAAAACTAAACAAATATCGGAAGGACTTAAGTAGTTCCCAGGATCTGTGGATCTATGTAACCTAAGGGATTCTAGCAGTTTTGTAAGGATACCCACACAGATGTTCTGAGACAGTTGGTGACCTTTCCAAATTATGTGCAACTTCACTTTCTTATTTTGTCATCTTGACAATTATATTTCCTTACTTCTGCAAGAATGTTCTAAAAAATCTTGGTTCATTATCAACCTTGTATATCTAAGAAGTGAATACAGGTCCCAAAGTACACTCAGTTTACCTCTGCAGAATGCAAACATCAAAGAAAAAGGAAATTTTCATCCTTTTATATCCCCTGATCTGCAGCATCAGTAATTTTGAAGATACAGTTATCATCATGCTACCGTGTATATAATACCGATGGTCTTATATTTGAAATTGAAATTATTTGAAATTCTAACCCCTCATTCTCATCCAAATGGCTCCTAGATCCTTTTCCTGAAATATGCTCTAGAAACTTGTCCTGGTATCAGGCTTTTTCTTTCACAATCTCCCTATGCAAAGTTATCTGCTCTTAGACTATCAGAGGGCACATTACTAGCCCCAGCAGTTATAGTGTTGAAGTCTGTTACTTTCTCTTCTAAAGAAGAAAAAGACATATTGAAAAGAACTGGAGCAGGATTCACATATTCCAGGTCTTTATTGGCAGAAATGGTCTGTGCCACAAGTTGGCTGTTCACCAAGCCTGATCTTCTTTGTGACTCCTGGGGAAGACCTGTCTCTAAGGATGTTCTGCCAAGGTCCCTCTAGCCTGAACTTCACCCAGTTCATGAATCATCATGTATTTTAATGCATTTAAAACTTTAAAGAAAACTTACATATTCATTGTGGCAACTCTGAATATTCTTTGAGCCACGCAAATCTGTCCATTTTCACAACTTGCTTCCAGCTTCTGTGATTTTCTATTTCATATATACTTTTTAATGCATTTACTCATGCAAATACCACTTCACTGGCTTCTGGCAGCAGGCAAAATGATACAGATTTGTAGATTGCTTCTTGTCAGCCCAAAGGGCACATAGAGATGTCTGGTGGAGCTGAAGTGTTCATAATGATAGCTGCCCTTTCTGTCTCATGCACTGGGCTCCCATGATACCCAAGCACTTCTGTTTGAAAGCTGAGGTAAAGGATGTATGACATGCAGGTTTTCATAGAATTAAAAACTTTATTTAATTAGAATATTCCTTCTTGTATCAGGCATAGATCATATGTAGGTTCTGCACTTTTCCACTGCTACTTTTAGGAGCTGCCAGACATATATTGGGGAAAACACTAATTTCTAGTATCTGATACTTGGACATTTTTGTACTTCAAATTTAAAAGTATGGGCATAGCTAATCCAATCATGCCATTTGTTGGAAGCAAGTTCAGTATGAATAGGGATGTTTGAAATTATACACTATGTTTATTTTATTTCATATACTGTGTCACTGCAACTGGCTGAGATTAGCCATCACAGTATTTGATGTCACTGATAGTTCTTTACAGTCTTAACTGGCAAACTCATTAGCTGTGCCACACTGGCATTCA